AACATACGTCTGAAATGAACTTTCTAAGTCGAATCGCTGGGCTCGCGCGTCTCGACATGGTTCAGAGTACAGAAATCTGTGAGAGACTTGTTGTAGAGCCGCTGCTTTCTCCAGATTGAGAAGGCACAGCTGCGATGGCTTAGACACGTATTGGTAATACGTCAAAAAACGAGGGCGACACGGCTACTGTTTGCCTCGCTGACTGACCTAAGACGCCTTGGAGGCCGGGCCACAGTGACCTGGTGTAAGTACCGCGGAGCACTCCTCGAAGGAGTTATTCTACCGACACTCGGGCCATATTCCCCAGAAGGTCGAACGCTCTCACAAGATGAGGAATGCTGCGGATATTGTTTATACGTCTGCTTTTGCCCCTGAATGGATAAGCGATGGCCGCAATAGACTGAGTGAATGGTTTACACTTGTGATGGCAATTTCGTACAAATTATGGCCACACACGATTTTCGTTGAAATTGCCTAAAAATGCAAAGAGCAGGAAACAGGATTATGATTCATTAAACTTTAGGAAAGGGCGGATTTTATTCTACAGTGTACCTCCACCATTTGAAAACTAGTTTACAGGGTGTTGCATTTTCTTTGCCCAGTATCTAATTCATAACGGCGTTCAGAAGCCATATTTGTTCTCACTAATTGCTACAAGAAAATGCGCTTATTAACAAATCAGATTTCGTTTGCCACGTTACGATAATGATGCTTCATTAGGTAAATATACCGAGGCTTTCTTGAAAACACTGGTCTTTTGTCCAATATTATAGCCAACATATTTTGTTCTGCTCTCAGTACGCATATGTAAATCCCTTAAAAAACCTTATTGCTGTTTCAGAAATTATTTTTTTAACCAGTATCATTAGTACGACATTTCTTAAGCGTCTGGTGACATCGAGGAAAGCGTTCTTTAACGCACTTCGACGTTTTTGCCGGGGTGGGGTAGGGGAAACCGAAATGATATCGGGGAAACGCGTGTACGGTAGGCAACTGTAGACTGTCCCTGCCAATCCGCTGCTGAGATTCCGTTCTATGAAGTTGTGTGCCATGAACACAGGACTAACCATTACGACTAAAGTGTTAGAAAAATTTCAGCAAGCAGTCGGCAGCGAATAGACACTTTGATCATTCAGGTGAGTGACATTAGCATACTAGCGTGGGCATCATTACGTCACCATGTTTGAATGCAGTCACAATCGAAAGGAATCAACTTTTTTCATTTAATAATATCACCCGCTAAGAACTGTCCGGATCTTCAATTTATTTAGACATGGGTAGTCATCTTCCATCCGGGAGGTTGATGGCATAGTGCAAAGAATTCAACGTAGATTCATTGGATTTTACTCAGAGGGCAGCTATAAATCTTTTTTTCGCAACAAATGATGCAGAATGAAATGCATACTAAGCGGTAATAAAGTACACATTGATAAGAACACATAAATCTCATGAAGGTTCATGGCAGCTTTGCTGACCAATCTAAAAGTCATATTTTGATAATCAAAACAACATATGCGCATTATTAGGCCTTTGAGTCAAAATCACTGGTTTGAACTTCAGCTGTGGTGAATATGCCAATATGTGGTAGCAATCGAAATTTAAAATCATCGTGAGGTGCAGTAGCCAACGCAGGGTTATTAGTTACAGTTGCCAGTTCGATGTATGATATGCAGATATTTTGCTAATAACTAGTCATAACTGTCACCGTAGTGTGTCGTCAGTGGTAATGATCATATAATTGATATGATTCACCAAATCACTGGCTTACCAGGTTCCAGTGCTATTCCACATTGCTGCATTCCACCTGTGTCGACCACGCCCAATGTCCAGCAAATTCAGCACCTGTAGCAACTACTTCTTCCACCGCTTGTACAGG